TCATGAATCAAATGTACTTAACAGACACCTATAGAACATTCCACCCAAAGACAAAAGAATATACTTTTTTCTCAGCACCTCATGGAACCTTCTCAAAAATTGACCACATACTCAGCAACAAAACAAACCTCAACAGATACAAAAAAATTGGAATAACCCCATGTATCTTATCGGATCACCACGGCTTAAAGTTAGAGTTCAACAACAACACTAATTTTAGAAAGCCTACAAACATGTGGAAATTAAACAAGGTTTAACTGAAGGCTCACTTGGTCAGGGAAGAAATAAATAAATTAAAGACTTCCTAAAGTTCAATGAAAATGACTGCACAACATACTCAAACTTATGGGACACAATGAAAGCAGTGCTAAGAGAAAAGTTCATAGCACTAAATGCCTGCATAAAGAAGCTGGAGAAGGCTGTGAGGTAGTGGTGTAGGTGTGCATCTTTAATCCCACCACTCAGGAGGCAGAGGCAGGTGGTTGAAGTCAGCCTGATCGACAGAACTAGTTAGTTCCAAGACAGCTAGAGCTGTTACACAGAGAAACCCTGCCTCAAAAAAAACAAAAAACAAACAACAACAACAACAACAAAAAAGCAGGAGAAATCCCACACTAGGGAATTAATAGAACACCTGAAAGCTCTAGAACAAAAAGAAGTAAACTCATCCAGAAGGAGTAGATGGTGGGATATAATTAAATTGAAGGCTGAAATCAATAAAATAGAAACAAAGAAAACAATACCAAGAGTCAATGAGACAAAGATTTGGTTCTTTGAGAAAAATCAACAAGACAGATTTATCCAAACTAACAAAAAGCAGAGAGAGAATATCCAAATAAACCAAATCAGAAATGAAAAGAAGGACATAACAGATTCTGAGGAAATCCAGAGAATCATCAGGTCATACTTCAAAAACTGTACTCCACAAAATTAGAAAGTTTAAAGGAAATGGACAATTTTCTGGGTAAGTACCACATACCACAATAAAATCAAGACCAGGTGAACAATTTAAATAGACCTATAACCAACCCATAAGGAAACAGAACAGTCATCAAAAGCCTCCCAACCAAAAAAGCTCAGGGTCAGATGATTTCAGCACAGAATTCTACCAGGACTTCAAAGAAGAGCTATTACTGATGCTCCTCACAGTGTCTCACACAATATAAACAGAAGGACATCGCCCAACTCTTTGTGCAAAGCAACATTGGCAATCCAAATCCAAGAGCACATCAGGAAATTATCCACCATGACCAAGTCGGCTTCATCCCAGAGATTCAGGGATGGTTCAACATATGAAAATCTATCAATGTACTCCATCATATAAATAAACTGGAAGAAAAAAACCCCACAGAATCATCTCATTAGATGCTGAAAAGCCTTTGACAAAAATCCAACACTCCTACATGATAAAGGTCTTGGAGAGATCAAAGATACAAGGAACATACCTAAACATAATAAAGGCAATATACAGCAAGCCAACAATCAACATCAAAATAAATGGAGAGAAACACAAAGTGATTCAACTAAAAATCAGGAACAAGACAGGGCTGTCCACTCTCTCCACATCTACTCAATACAGTACTTGAAGTTCTAGCCAGAGCAATAAGACAACCAAAGGAGATCAAGGGGATATAAATTGGAAAGGAAGAAGTCAAACTTTCACCATTTGCAGATGGCATGATAGTTTACGTAAGTGATCTGAAGAATTCTACCAGGGAACTCTACAGCTGATAAACACCTTCAGTAATGTGTTTGGACACAAGATTAACTAAAAACAAAACAAAACAAAACAATAATAACAAAATCAGTAGCCTTTCTTTACACAGATGATAAATGGGCTAAAAAAGAAATCAGAGAAATATCACAATAGCCACAAACAAAACAAAATATCTTGGGGTAACTCTAACCAAACAAGTGAAAGACCCATATGACTTAAGTCTTTGAAGAATAAAACTGAAGAGGCTATTAGATAATGGAAAGATCTTCCATGCTGTTGGATAGGTAGGATTAACATAGTAAAAAGGTAATCTTACCAAAAGCAATCTACAGATTCAATGCAGTACCCATCAAAATCACAGCACTATTCTTCACAGACCTCAAAAGAACAATACTAAATTTTATATGGAAAAACAAAAACCGAGAATAGTCAAAACAACCCTGTGCAATAAAGGAACATCTGAAGGCATCTCCATCCCTGTCTTCAAACTCCATTATAGAGCTATAGTAATGAAAATAGCTTGGTATTGGCACAAAAACAGATAGGTGGAGCAATGGAATCAAACTGAAGACCCTGACATTAACTCACACACCTATGAACACCCTATTTTTTTTTTTTTAAAAACAGTATTCTTGCCTTGAAGTTGAGTACCGTTCTTTTGAGGTCTTTGAAGAATTTTGCTGGGATTTTGATGGGCATTGCATTGAATCTGTAGATTGCTTTCAGTAGAATTGCCATATTTACTATGTTAATTCTGCCTACCCAAGAGCATGGGAGGTCTTTCCACTTTCTGGTGTCTTCTTCAATTTCTTTCTTCAAAAATTTAAAGTTCTTGTCATACAAGTCTTCCACTTGTTTGGTTACAGTTACTTTGAGATATTTTATGTTATTTGTGGCTATTGTGAAAGGTGTTGATTCTCTGATTTCTTACCCAGCCCTTTTATCATCTGTGTACAGGCGGGCTACTGATTTTTTTGGAACTCACTTAAGGACTTTATACAAGTTAGACAAGCTAGATTCTACAAATTAAACTACACTCCAAGCCCTAAATACTTTTTAAAAAATATTAAATATGAATTATATATAGTTTAAATACTACTAAACTTTTTGTATCTGTATCTGACATTGGTATTCTCTAAAAAAAAAATTAGGAGCTGACGAGATGGCTGAGGTTAAGAGCACTACTGCTCTTGCAGAAGACCTGGATTCAGTCCCAGAACCCACATGGTGGCTTATGACTGTATATAAATTCAGTTCTAAGGGACTTGATGCCTTCTTACAAAATGTTCTTGGGTACCATTGTAGTACACACGTAGTACACATATGTATACGTAGGCAAACACTTATATACAGAAATATAAATTGTTTTTTGTCTTTTGAAGATAGGGTTTCTGTGTGTTGCTTTGGAGTCTGTCCTGGAACTAGCTCTTGTAGACCAGGCTGGACTCAAACTCACAGATCCACCTGCCTCTACCTCCCGAATGCTAGGATTAAAAGCCTGTACCACCACAGTCCGGCAAAATATAAATCTTAATTTTTAAATTTTACTTTGAAAACTACTGAAGTACATTTTTTCCTAAGATTTTATTTATTCACTTATTTTATGTATATGTGTGCTCTGTCTTCAGGCACACCAGAAGAAGGAATCGGATCCCATTACAGATGGTTATGAGCCAACATGTGGTTGCTGGGAATTGAACTCAGGACCTCTGGAAGTCAGGTGCTCTTAACCACTGAGTCAACTCTCCAGCCTCCAAGATTGTACTTTGTTAATTATGTGTGTGTGTGCTTTGTGTGTGTGTATGTGCACATGCGTGCATGCGACTGTGGAGGAAGAGGGCACTGGATTTCCTAGATTTGCAATTACAGAAAAATTGTGAGCTGACTGTTATGGGTGGTAGAATTTGTGACCTCTGGAAGAGTAGCAAGTGCTTTTAACCACTGAGCCATCTCTCCAACTCTGACATCAGTATTCTAACAACCCTGTACAAGTACATTCATTCTTTGATTCATTCATCTGTCTGTCTGTCTGTTTCTTTCTATCTATCTATCTATCTATCTATCTATCTATCTATCTATCTATCTATCTACCTATCTACCTACCTACCTACCTACCTATTGATCAATTGGTTTTTTAAGACAAGTTTCTCTGTGTAACATCTCTGACTGTCCCAGAACTCACTTTGTAGATCAGACTGGCTTCTAACTCACAGAGATCCATCTGCCTCTGCCTCCTGAGTGCTGGGATTAAAGGCGTGTACCACACCACCCAGCTAGTAGTTTTTAATTAAAAGAGGACTAGAGTACATTGCATTAGCTAAGTCTATAAAGAAGTAAGCAGAGAGAAAACACTAATTAAAAAAAGATTTGCAAGCTGGTGAGAGGCTTACTGGTTAACAAAGCTTACTGCTCTTTCACAGGAGCTAACTACAGTTCCCAGCACCCACATGGTAGCTCAGACTGTTAATTCCAGTTCCAAGGGACCTGATGCCTCCTGGCTTTTGTGGGTACCCGTGTGCACATTGTGCATATAGACTTATATAGGCAGACAGACATATACATAAATTAAAACAATTTTAAAAAATTAAAAAAGATGAAACTGAGTTACTTTTAGGAAGAATATTTTGAGTTAAGAATTCTAAACAAGAAGTCAGAGAGAACTGTAACAGAGATATTGGAGAGGAGGCCTGATGGTTAAACACTTGTTTCCAGAGGCCTACGCTTGTGCCTAGTACCCACACAGTAGTTCAGAACTATTGCTTTAACTCTGCTTGTGTTTAGTACCCACACAGTAGTTCAGAACTAGCGTTTTAACTCCAGTTCCAGTGGATCCAATGCCCTCTTCAGACCTCTACAGGCACGAGGCACACACATGGTGCACAAATATACATTCAACTAAAACACCCATGCATATAAATCTAAAAATATTTTTAAAAGAAATAGGGTACTTAGCACTTATCAGAATAAAGAACACATCAAATTTATAAAGTAAGAGGGATTTCTCATTACTAGTAAAAAAAAAAATAGTGATTCTTTTGTTTTCCAAAGGGTAAGATTCTAGATGTTTATAAACAATGCTTTGTCTATAGTTAGGAGAAAAGAAAAAAAAGATAAAAAAATTTATATACTTCAAAGAATAAGACATCTGTAGCTATTGGAACTTAACAAGGTAGAATCTGGCATTCATTACAATATTTATGTTAAGTGATTTGTTGCTTACAAAGTGTGGCTCTTCAGAACTCAAGTCAGCATGAGAAGGCATATTAGGAAAACAATATCCTACCTTTCTGCACTTGATAAGATGATAAGGAAACCTGCAGGCCCTGATCTGGTGATTTTTATCATATGGGCACTGTAATAACTTTTCAGGGTCCAGGGAGTCGACTGGAAGAGAGAAAAAAATAAAGTAAGTATAAAGTATAATCCTGTTAAACTATAGCAGCCTTTCAGGAACATAGTGTTTTCAGAGAACCTTTAGTGAAAGAATGAGGCAGTCTAAGGAAAAGTCAGATTAAAATAAAGTGTGACTGGTCCAATAGTGGTAGGATCCACCTTTCATCCCTGCACTTAGGAGGCAGTAGGCAGATCTCTGAGTTCCAGCCATCTACATAGTAAGTTCTAGGATAGCCAGGATTATACAGAGAAACCCTGTGTCATAAACCAAACCACACAAACACACACATACAAACCGCAAATAGAACCCCCCCAAAGCTAAAATCAAACCAACTAAAAAAACAAAACAAAAATAAAATGTACCTAAATAATAAAATATAATTATGAAAAAATAAAATTGTCATCACTGACTCTTAAGCACAGTAGTACAACTATGGCGTGTGTGCTGAGGTCTCGTTTATATTTGACTGGATACCGTTTTCCAGTATTCATGTTTGTTTTTTTTTTTTTTTAAGACAGGGTTTCTCTGTGTATCTCTGGCTGTCCTGGAACCTACTCTGTAGACCAGCTGAATCCAAACTCACAGAGATCCGCCTGCCTCTGCTCCTGAGTGCTGGGATTAAAGGCTTGAGCCACCACTGCCCTGCCAGTTTTCATTCCTATTATAAAACAATAATGCTAAATGACATCCAAAGTATTTTTCTTCCTCTTCCTTTTTTCTTTTTCTTTCTTTTCTTTTGTTTTTTTTGAGACAGGGTTTCTCTGTAGCTTTGGAGCCTCTCCTGGAACTAGCTCTTGTAGACCAGGCTGGCCTCAAACTCACAGAGATCTGCCTGCCTCTGCCTCCCAAGTGCTGGGATTAAAGGCGTGTGCCGCCACTGCCCAGCTCCTTTTTCTTTCTTAACGGTAACAATTCAGGGTTATTTCTATTTTCTAGGTACTCCAACCAAGATTTCCCAGTAGCACACTGAAGGTGAAATGGACTGCTGGTGTCCCAATATAACCACTGTGGCCCGCTGTACTTGTGAACTCTACTCTCCCTACCCAGCTGGCCTTATGCAAATTAGGAATAATTAGAATCCTTGTCTATTTCTAGTAAACAAGTTGATAGCCATAGAGTTTCAATAGCATGTTCTATGGAACATGTATTAACAACTAGAGCTTCCCCCATCTGTTCTTTGCTTTACTTCTCTATGTTGTATTGGTTATTCTAGTTTCCTTGTCCATGATCTCATTACTTTTGTCAGATTTTACTTTTTATATTTTGGAATATTGATAAGAAAAAATTCCTTCAATTAACGACTACTGAACCATCCGGCTGAAATAAAAATAAACTGCAAAGACAGAGCCTCCTACAGCTGTTGGAAACGGAGACAACTGTACACATGGACTGCTGTGTCAAGAAAACCCTGAACCATGCTATTCAAAACTGCCCTTAGGCTATCCAAGCTGCCTTGGCTGTGCCCCCAATCTTAACAAGCTTGGTTGTTAAGGCAACCGAATAAACCGCCCTTGCCACCCCTTGAAGGTAAGGATAAAGAAAAACAATTCACCTTTGATAAGAAGCTTATAAAGAGAAGACTGCAATGGAAATCAGAAAACAGAGGGGAACTGAAACAGTTTCACTGGCAGTGTAAACATGGAATAAATTGCTAACACGGTCATGATGCAAATGAGCCTGAAAGGTGATCTGAAGGACAGAAGGAATGGGGAGGAGAAGTCCTAGAGGACAGCGTGCTTATTATGCCAACTGTGCTCTTCTTAGCCAGCAATCTTTCCCTATTTCTGCAGCTTCGGAACACCCAGGGAGCATTCAGGAATGAGATTCTTATTAGTTTTCCTTCATTTAATCCATTCCATCACCAGCAAATGTCAGCAACTGACAGAATGGGAGGTACTCTATGATTCACACATATTATAACTGTCCATGTGAGCATGAGTCAAAATTGACAACGTGAACTACCAAATGCTTTACTTCTTGGTCTGGCAATTTAGGTCAGCTCTAATCTACTGTTCTATATGGAAAAGAGTTATCCATCCATCCATCTTGGTGTTGGTGACCAAATTACGGGTCTTGAGAGTGCTACACAAGTGCTCTACCACTGAGCTACATCCCAGTCTTTATTTCAGACCATTTGTTCAGAGTGATATGGCTATAAACTAAAGTGTCATATTTAAAATTTGAGTATTTTTTTAAAAAAATGACTTATTTTCATTTTGTGTGCATTGATGTTTTGTCTGCATGTTTGTACATGATTCCCTGCAACTGGAGTTTCAGACAGTTGTGAGCTGCCATATGGGTGCTGAGAACTGAACTCAGGAACTCTGGAAGAGCAGCCAGTGCTCTTAACTACTGAGCCATCTCTCCAGCTCTAAAATATGAATTATATCTATACCTCAACACCACAAAGACCTTTCTTTCTCAGCATTTCACGGAGAAATCTGAAATTTTCACAACATACAGTCTAGTTAGACATCACACTACACATAACTGACGTGTTATTATCTGAAAGCAGCAAGCAGTACATACTGTAAGTGTCTTCCATGCTGATGGCAAAGGAGTCCTGTTCAAGTGCTAGAGGGAAAAACATGGTTCAGAGAATCAGAAACAAAATTTATCAAAAGACAGCCCTAAGATGTCGAATCTTTCCTGGAATTGAAGCCGCTCAAATTCAATAAGACAAACCCTTAGTATATGGCCTCCTCCGGAGACATCTCTCTTCTTTAAAGCATTCTTTACTCCTAACACTAATTTTAGCATTATCATATAATTCATATTCTTGGAATAAACTCCAGGGCCCCAAAACAGCTAGGCCACAATGACTACAGATATAAACTATATTCAAATGACAACATAGCAATGTATTTTAAGAGGTATTACAACACCTGCTACTGTTCACCTATTAGAGTTTGATGTTATTTATTATTAGTAATAGGGTTGGTAAGTCAAGGCCATAAAATACTATTATTTAAAATTCCAGATAAACTACTTTAAAGCTCTTCTTTCCAGCTGGATAGATGCTAAATGGTTAAGAGCTCTGGTTGCTCTTGCAGAGGACCTTGGTTTGATTCCCAGCACCCACATAGCTTACAAGTGACTACAGAGTCAGTTTTAGGGGAACAAATGCCCTCTTTGACCTCTGTGGGCAATGCATGCTCATGGTGCACTTATAAATGCACACAAACTCATGTAAAATAAAAATAAATCTTATTTAATAACTTTTTAAAAATGAGATCAGGAAAAGTCATACTGATGGTCTCTTATCTAGCAGTGCTTTACTCTGTTCTTCTCATTTCTTTCTTTTTCTTTCTTTTATTTTTTTGGTTTTTTGAGACAGGTATCTCTGTGTTGCTTTGGAGCCTGTCCTGGAACTAACTCTGTAGACCAGGCTGGCTTCAAATTCACAGAGATCCACCTGCCACTGCCTCCCGAGTGCTGGGATTCAAGGCACACACCACCACTGCCCGGCTTCCTCTAATTTCTTACATAATGTCAAGATTAGTACTATTCTGGTCAGTACTGATTCCCTCTCTACAGCGAACAAGTGAATTTAGGAATTAAGAACTCACAGAGAACATGTAAGAGATAAAATATAACAGAAATGAAAAACATTAAAATAAAGTGTCTCAGTTTGAATTCTCTTTTACTGGAGAGCTCTATTTAATTCACTTATTATTATGGAAAAACTAATCTTGTATCTAACCACTCCCACAGGAATCTTCTGAAAATTGGATGTACATACAACTCTTGTCTCTAGGCAAGCTCTCCTTTGGCCTCTCACACAATTCCATACTCCTTCCCCCCATTCTATGACATAAGCACCATTAGAACCTTTGTTAGGAAATACAGGTGATCAGCTAAACTCCAGTTTAGTACTTCGCTGCAGAGCCCATTTGTTAAGGACAATCATTAGGGAAACTGTCTGAAAATTATTCTTCATGTTTGTATTAAACTATCCTGACCTTTTGGAACCTCTATTACAGTTATGTCATACTTTGTTAAAAATAAAAAAGGTCTGGAAGGAAGAGTCAAGCATTACATTTTCTTGTTTTCTTATTTATTTTTTTATTTCAAGGTATCTAAGAGAGAGAGAGGATTCAGCAACTTAGAGAGCTGACCTATTCTCTTCCAGCAGATTGATTACAGTAGGTAAAGAGTGCTGGAATTCATGGTATCACCCAGCTGTCTCTTATCTTCTCCATCACACTGTTAACCTGTGATTAGATTCCCTTCCCTCAGTACTAGGCTGCTGTGAACTGGATAAAGTGCGAATCTGAAGCTACTGTTTAAACCCTGAAAAAAAAAATAGCAGATCTCGGTAAAGTAGTAATTTCTCTATCCTTACCAAAAGCCCCCAGATTCGAGAAGATTCTCAAGCAACGCGAGGATAAAAGGAGCAGGCATGGAGGGGGGAGGTTTTGAAAACAAAGGTAGAAAGAGGTGCCAGGTAGGCCGTCGAGGTATAATGGGCGACGCCGCAGTGGCAAGGGCTTAAGGTTGGGGAGTGAGGGAGGACACCTCCTTGAAGGTATCCCACACGTGAATTGCTCCCAAGGGTTGACCCAAGCCAACACCCTACCACCTTTCCTTCTTACCTCAGTTCAGACGCTCGCCCCACAGCCAACTTCGCCTTACAGTCAGGCCCCGGCAACGCCCACTTCCGGTCGATGCCAGGGCGGGGCTGCACTTCCTGTGACTGTGGCTTACACTGGCCCAGAGCTACAAAGCCAACACTTGTGACGCTTTCTCCCTTTGGCTCACCCTCATGCCTTCAAGGCTACCTCTTGGGGATTTTCAGCCGCTTTACTTTTGGCCGCCACCTCTCTTATACTCCCTGACCCACATGGTCCTACGTATGTGGAGAGCTTCCTTTGCTGGCTTTGGGGCAGCCATCTTAGAAAAGCCAGGGAAAGGAAGGGACTGGTCGGAGCTGGGTGCTGTTTACAAGAAAGCCTTGCTTGTGGAAGTTGTTGAGACAGAAATGTAATTTAGATTTTGAGAGTTCAAAAGAGGACAGCTGAGGAAAATCAAGAAGAGCAGGGATTTTGTGATTCTATAGTACATGTAGGCTCTCAATTGGAAAGACAATGGTAGTCTCTGAGAATAGTTGGGAGGATGATAGATTTGTGGTGGGATTAAAGGGAGTTTTAAGTTGGAGAGGACAAGTGGGTCAAAGAACTGGGAGTCCTTCAGAAAAGATGTCATTCCTAAATGATAATTGTGTACCAGCTTAAGTATAAATACTTATCCCCAAAGTGCTTAGGAAAACAGATACTAAATTGAAACAGTGGTCGAATGGGGGTACAACATATGCCAGGAAGCGGTAGAGTGTAAATTCCTATAAGGAAATTTTTAGTAGGGCCTGAGATGCCCTGCAAAAACATTAGGGAGAAAAATGATTTATACTATAAATTTTATCGCATTTGAAAAGGTATTGGCACTGTGGGTAGATTTGGTGACACTGTTTTAAAACTACCAAGTTGTAAAATACATTGTATGATAGGACAGAAAATTTTGTACTGTCCAAATCTTAGTAGGCCATCTAGAAGTTGTCTGACTGCTGAAATCCTGGGACTTCTGACATGTTTAAGTGGGTAAGAGCCTAAATACAGTTTGAGAGAATCATCAGGATAGCAAAAACAAGGAGCTTAGGTGAATAGGGTCTTAGGAGTGGGTGCTTTATTTTTACATGAATAATTTGTAAATGAATTCCAGCTCTGCTCCACAGTCCGGTCAGCTGATGAGTGAATGCTTCAGAGCTTTCAGTTCGGAATAAGACACTAAAAGGAGCTAGGGAGTAAAGGCACAAACCTGTCATCTTAGCACTTGGGATGCTGAAGCAGGAGGATTGTCATGGATCTGAGGCCAGCTGAGACAGCCCAAACTACAGAGTGAGACCCTGTTGGGCAGAAGACCTGCCTCAGAGTGGGTGGGTGGGGTGGGGTCCCAAAGAGAATGTTGGGTCGGGGGAGAAGGAGGCAGACAGACATGATCTGAGGATGAATCAGGATGGCTGCCAGCAGCATTTAATTGAGAAAAGATTACACCTTTTATACTGTATAGTTGCACATAGGATTAAATGAGAGGACAAGGGGTGTGTGAGTTGGGGTGTAACTTGAGATCAGAGTACTGACCTTGACAATAGGCACCAGTCAGGGAGGGTCACCAACCAACCAACCCAAACCCCAAGAAGAAATAGGTTGTGGATGGGAGATGGACTGATGATGGGCTGGTCATTCTTGCTGCAGTATAATGGTTCTTTTTTTTTTTTAAGATTTATTTATTTGTAATGTATATAGTGTTCTGCCTATATGTATACTTGCACACCAGAAAAAGGCACCTGATCTTATTACACTCATTAACTCATTACAGTTAATCTTGAGCTACCATGTGGTTTCTGGGAACTGAACTCAGGACCTCTGGTAGAGCAGCCAGTTCTCTTAACCTCTGAGCCATCTCTCCAGCTCTAGCAGGATAATGATTCTTAGTCATGTCTGCACATTGGAATCATTTGGGGAGTGCTTAAGACTTACCATGTAGCTCGTAGCTTGGTGGTGGTGGCCTACACCTTTAATCCCAGCACTTGAAAGGCAGAGGTAGGTAAATCTCTTGAGTTTGTGACCAGCCTGGTCTACAGCTTGAGTTCCAGGATAGCCAGGACTACATACTCTGAGAAATCCTGTCTCAAAAAACAAAACACCCCAAATAAACCAAAACCAAAAACCCCAAACCAAACCAAAACAAATCCCTCCCCCAAAAAGAGAACATGTAAATTCCTGTCTTAGACCAATTAATCAGAAAAGAGCCAGGCATAGTAATTTTTTTTCAAGACATGGTTTCTCTGTGTGACAGCCCTAGCTGTCCTGGAACGCACTCTGTGGACCAGGCTGGCCTCGAACTCACAGAGATCCTTCTGCCTGTGCCTCCTGAGTGCTGGGATTAAAGGTGTGTACCACCACTGCCTGGCTCTAGGCATAGCTATTTTTAAAACTTACCTAGATGATTCTAATATGCAGTCAGACTAAAAATTTGCAAAAGCATTTCTTTCACATGGATGGCCTGGATGAGTCATAGCAAACGGTTAAATGCTTTTTCAGAGAGAAATTGCTTCATCGTAAACTTAACACAAAGCATTTTAGGAAAAACTAATTTTTTTCCAAGTTCACTTCAGATCATTAGAAAACAGCTTGAAACAATTGCTTTTGTTGTTTTTGAACCCACTCTGTAGACCAGGATAGCTTCAAACTCACAGAGATCCACTTGCCTCGGCCTCCTGAGTACTGGGGTTAAAGGCATGCCCACCACTACTTTAAAACAATTCTTATGAGATCTTATGAATTTTGAGTTTATCACAGTATCATTCATGCAGAATTAGTGGGACCAGAGTGGTTTGAACTAATTTTCTTTTCAGAGATCTGGTGCAATTTTTGTCACTGTTGCTATGACCCATAAATACTTTTCATTTACATACTTACAGATTGAAATTTCTAAGAAAGAGCTAAGAGCTTGAGAGAATGGGAGCAGCGAGCCGGTCTTAAACCAGAACCTCAAGTAGGCTTTACTGCAGTCTCTGATGCCTTCCTTGTCACAATGGCAGAGTTCTTAGTTGACAGAGCTGCTCCATTTAGCACCACCGGACAAGCCCACTGACTCAACAAACAAAAGCTAAAGCTGTCTTTCAGTGGTAACTTGGAAATAAAAATGCACCACACATCTGTCCTCCTTCAATACTTTGTTCATTCCCTTTCAAGGCAAAAAAAAAATTATGCTTTATCTGAGATCCCTGCTGAGTTTTCTTTCAGGCTGTTTTCTTTCTGTCCAGGTTGATAATATTTGAAAATGGAAAAACAATGAGACCAAGTAATTTATACCAACCAGGGTTATTCTAGGAATTAGCTGAGATTATTATCCAAAATTGAATATATATTTACACACATGTATGTACATATATACATTAGAATTTATAATAGCTAAAAATAAAGCCAATGTTCTAATGAGTCTTATGAGTCATAAGAACTCTTGAGATTCTTCAGAAATGTTCAGTGTTTGATGACTTGATAAAATGGCTCAGTGGGTAAGTAATTTGCTGCCAAGCCTAATGATCAAATTCAATCCCTGGGATTAACTCTTAAAACTTGTTCTCTGACATTCACATGTGCACCATGATATGCACTGTACAATGTGTAAATAAATAAGCATAAATTTTTAAAAGATTTATTATATATAGTGTTCTCCCTGCATGTACGTCTATAGACCAAAAGATATATAGACCAGATCTCATTACAGATGGTTATGAGCCAGCATATGGTTGCTGGGAATTCAACACAGGACCTTTGGAAGAGCAGGCAGTACTCTAAACTGCTGAGCTATCTCTTCAGCCCAAGTGTAATAATATTAATAAAAGGAATCTTTCAGTGTTTCAGAAAGCCCAATAAACTTCCATCCAGTAGAAGACTAAGCATTTCTTTGTTTCTGGCTTTAATTGTATTGAGTCCTGGTTCTCTCATCCAATTATGGTTTCTGATTGTCAGTTACATCTATAGTTAAACACAGAAAAATTATTCCATGGATGTAGTTGAAGAATCTATCAAAATTAGGGATTATAGAGCTGAGGAGAGTCCCTGTGGGTAAGATGCTTTTTCTCAAGCATGAAGACCTGAGTTCATAGCCACAGCATTTGTGTAGAAGCCTTATGTGGTAAAAAATCTAAGCTGGAGTGTATGCATCTGAGTGCGTGCCTATGTGCGTATGTAAAATGCTTAAGATCTACTCAGCAAATTTCAGGCAATACATTTTTATTAACTATGGCTGCCATACTTTACATTAGATCTTTAGAACTAACATAATCTAGCTCTATACTTGTAGGCTTCCACCAATATCTCCTTACTTCTCCCATTACAGTTCTTAGTGTCTTAGAGGTAGTTCTTATCTGACTTGGGAACTGATGAGAATCTTTGCAAATGTTGCAGCGTCTGTAAGAAATCATCTACCTTGTAAGAGTGAATGAGACAAGAGGACTACAATACTTGAGGCTTTTTCTCTCCTTATTTTATATTGCAGCTGCTTGGAAAGCTTGCATAGGAGTGTGGATAGACCACAGAAGGAATGATATGGGACAAATGAGGTATGTTCCAGAGCAATAAGATATGAAGAATGCTCCCCTCCCCCATTTATATTGTGAATGAAGAGTGACAAGCTGATGACCTGACTTCAGGCAAGAAACTTTGTAGCTGAAAAATCTTATTCAGTTGAGGCATAATCTTTTTGCACACTGTGAAGATGTGTCTTTGCCAAGGTGCCTTCTGATTGGTTTAATAAAGAGCTGCATTGTCAATAGCTAGGCAGGAGAAGATAGGTGGGATTTCTGGGGAGAGAGAGGAAGAAGAAAAGGAATCTAGGTGCTGAAGATACCAGCAAGACTGGATTCCTGTAACAATTCCCGTAACAATCTACCTTTTGCCTTGGGGTTTTACCTTTCTTACTTTCTGTATGTCTTACTTTCAGTACTTATTCTGTCTTTTCGGCTGGTAGCTGCCTGACTGGCCCTGGGTCTGTCTGTCTCTCTCTCTCTTTCTCTCTCGCCTGCTCTTCTTTCTCTTATTCTACTTGAACTTAGATTTCTCCTATTTGTTCTTTCTGCCTGCCAGCTATGGTTATCCCTCTCTCTGCCTAGCTATTGTCCATTCAGGTGCCTAAGGCAGACAAGGTTAAACAAATGCAACACATCTTTTCATAATTACACAAATGCAGTATAAACAAATGTAACACACCTTTACACAGTTAAAGTAATATTCCACAGCATAAAGTGATGTAACATATCTTTGCCTAGTTAAAATAATATTCCACAGCAGAGGTATGACTGCAGTTCCAGGACTTGGAAGGTAGAAACAGGAGGATTAGAAATTAAAGGTCATTCTCAGCTATATAATGAGTTTGGACCTAGCCTGAGCTACATGAGGCCATGTGTACATGTGTGCTTTTATCTGTGGCATATGCATGTGTGTGGGGATGGATGTGTATGTGTGGATGCATGTGGAGGCCAGAGGTTAGTTAGTCAGGTGTCTTTATCATTCTCTACTTATTTTTTAACTTTTAGGTTACATTTATTTACTGTGTGTCTCTATATGGGTGTGTGCATGCAATACTGTTAGAGAAGCATTTTCAGGAGTCAGGCACTGACTATCATATGGGTACTGGGGATTGAACTCAGGTAGTAAGCCTTAGCAGCAAGCACCTTTACCCAGTAGACCATCATGTTGGTCCCTTTAAAAAAGCAACAGGCATTCATTTTGTGTGTGTGTTGTATGTGTGTATGTGTGTGTTACATGCATGATACAGTGCATGTGAGGTTAAAGGACAACCTGAAGGAGTTTGTTGTCTCTTATATGGGTTCCCAGGATGGAACTTAGGTTGTCAAGCTTGGTAGCGAGAGCCCTTGCAACCTGAGCCACATTACCTTATTTTTTAACAGTGTCTCTCACTGAACCTGAATCTTTCTGACTTGGCAAGACTTACTGAAAAATTCTCAAAAACAAACAAAAATGTTAATATTATACAAATTTAAGGGTGAACATCATTTGGTCTCCTTTGTGTAATGTTGTAGGGGGAAATATGGGATATTAAATAGCTAATTCAGTTTCCTTCTGGTTTTGCCATAATTGGAGAAAAAAGATCGTTTGAAAAGACTCTAGGAAACTTGTGAGGGCTGAGCCTCAAAAGGCAGTAAGTATTCATTTGACTATGATAATATTTTTTTTCCTGGGGGCAGGAGATTCAAGACAGGGACCCTCTGTGTAGTCTTGGCTGTCCTCTAACTTGCTTTGTAGAGCAGGCTGGCATCAATCTCAGATCCACCTGCCTCTGCTTCCCAAATGCTAGGATTAAAAGCGTGTGCTACCACTGCCCCCACGCATATTTTTTTAAACTTATTGAGTCTTTGTGGATTTTACATCATGCATCCTGATCCCATTAATCTTCCTGTCTTCTCACCTCTGCCCTCTGCCCCCAAACAAAATTTAAAAGTATAGCCTAAAAACAAAACAGTAACACCCCCCCCCCCACAAAGAAAAAAAAAACCAAATCAAAAAAATAGAAAAGAAATAAAAGAATGCTTTGGCATGGAAGCTGTAGTGTGGCCCAGTGAGTCACACCATATACACCTTAGTCCATTCATTTTTCCTTATAAGTGTTCTTTGCAGTGGATTGTTGGTCTGTCTCTAGGCTTCTGGTTCTGTTACTCTATTGATACGGGGCCCTTACTGGGGCTCCTTCTGGGTATCCTGTTGTCCTGTACCATAGGGATTCTGTAGATCCAGCCCCTTCACATGCTCCAACAATTCATAGCTGAGGTGGATGTTTGGGTGGGCCAATTCATAGGCCTGGTTCTGGGCCTGGGTGCTAGCTGGGTTGGTCAGCTCGCCAACTGTCCTTCATCATTGTTACCACCAGGGTGAGCTCTTCAGCACTGCCCCAGCGAGCTCACCCAATGTAGCTGGCAGCAAGGACCAGGGCCAGTTCTCCTGCTCTGCCAGCAGCATGTTTTTAAGTCTAACTAGGTCTAGATTACTCAACAAACTAGAAAACCAAAACCAAGACTAAAACAGACAAACAAAAACTCCCAGTGTCATTATTTAAAAAGGATGGGTATTTAATAATGAGATACAGCTGAGCTGATGGCTCAGAGACCTAGGATAGAACCAAACATGACTACCCCCCCCAAAAAAATTCAATATAATGATTCCTAGTGATATTTGCTATACACATAGATTGGTGCCTAGCCCAATCGTCATCAAAAAGGCTTCCTTCAGCAGTTGATGGGAACAGATGCAGAGACTCACACCCAAACATTAGGTGGAACCCTGTGGAACAGGGGAAGAGCTCAGCCCACAACAGAATCAACTAAGCAGGGCTCACAGGGACTTACAGAGACTAAGGCAGCAATCATGAAGCTGCATGGGTTTGTGCTAGATTCTCTGCAGACATGCTACATTTATCTTGGGGTATTTGTGGGACTCCTAACAGTGGGAGAGGGGCTGTTTCTCTTTTGTCTGCTCTTGGGACCTTTTCTTATTGGGATGTCTGGTCAATGGTGTGAGGATTTGTGCCTTGTTTTATTGCATCTTGTTATGCAGTGTTCTGTAGCTATCACTGGGAGGCCTCTTCTTTCCTGAAGGGAAATGGAGCAGCAGTGGACCTGGATGAGATAGGAGGTGGGGTAAGGACTGGGAGGAGTGGAGGGAAGAGAGGCTGTGGTGGGGATGGACTGCATGAGAGAAGAATAAATTAAAAAATATTTTAAAAATACAGTTTAAAAGAAGTCGATGTTGACTTGCCATCCTGGATTACAATGGGACCTTGTATCAATAGAAAATCCAGCATTTGGGTTTGTTTTACACACAGTGCCAGGCTGGTTGTATGGGAAATACAAAAAAATAACCACACACACACACACACACTTCACACTTTTCTTGAGATTGATGACATTAGGTAGGTAGAAAGGAGAAAATTGTCTAACTGCCATGTTAGAAATCACTGAAGGAGACAGGCAAGGTTTTAGTGTGGCAAAGGAGCTGGTCCTGAAGAAATCAGGAGCAGGGTTTTGACTAAAGCGTGCAGGGTGACATCTAAAACTGAGCAGAATGAAAAGTCAGAAATAATAAGCTGAGAACAAACTGAGCTGACAGAGTTAGGAAGGTCGATTTAGAACCATGTTCCAAACTCAGCTTGCCATAAAAACTATATCCTTTAAAAGCATGGAATATTTGCATAGCAGGTTGAAGAAGGGTGACTGGAGGGTCACAATACGTGGCAGTAAGTGAGGAAAAACTTGGGAATGAGTAATCTAATTGTGGACTAGTTTCACAGCCCACAGACTGATGGCAATTCCCCTTCTAATAATAGAAATAGGCGAATGAGCTCTGTAGCCTTCAGGTGACTTATGCATGCAGACATGAAAACAAGGAAGAATATAAAATTAAGTAAGTTTGTCAAAAGAAAATATTTTTTATTTAGATAAAAACATCTTAAGATGACAAACATAAGAGTTTATTTAAAAGTTGAGATTTTTTCCCTAAGGTTTAAAAACAACTTCCATTTGTTTGTTGGCCCTTTAATTTGCAATGTCTCCATCAGTTTTTCTGACCTGTAGGGAGAAAGAAAAAGATTGAAATGGTGTCGTTTTCACAGCTTGAGGTGTGGCAGAAGCATTTAAAAACAGCTTTTCACAGCCTTTTCTCCAATGTCTGATCTGAAGTCCCTAGGACTTTCCATGTATCCTATTGTGGGTTGAGGAGGAACAGAATAATATTAATTTTTATAGGTGCTGAACCTGTACCAAGTGCAAATGAGATAGGAGCACTATCATTGAGCTGAATCCCCAGACCAATATTTTAATAAATTATTTTTTGAGATGGGGTTTTATTGTGCAACCCTGACTGACCTGGAACTCATTATGTAGACCAGGGTGGACTTGAACTCACAGAGATCTGCCTGCCTCTGCCTTCTGGGTTTGGGGCTTAAAGGTGTGCAACTATACCCAATAGTTTTTTTTCCTTTCTTTTTCCTTTTTTTTTTTTTTAAAGAAGAAAGGTTTGGCTAAGAATCTTTGAAAGTTTAGATCACAATGTTAAAACTTTGATATTAACTTGACAAAGGTTACATTACCTCTTCCCCAGGACTTGTAGCTGCTAGGATACTTATCAGCCATAACCTCTTGTAGGTCTCTTGAGTCACTATAGGAGAGAACCACAAAAAGCAAGTTAACAGGGGAGCAGGAATGGGGGAATGAACTGATATATCTAGTTTCGGGCAGCCAGAGCATTATCCAAAATAATTGATATTACTCAGGGTTATAGTAGGAATCATTTAATTTCTGTCTTTTGTTTCATATTGTCCTTTATGCCTTCACTTCTCATGTGACTCCATCAGTGCCCCCTGGAACCCTTGTATGTGCTCTCCAAGCTTGTTTGGCTAGGGACACTGAGCTATTTGTGCAGAGTTGGTCCCCTTAAGTCTGAGAAGTTGGTCTTTTATTCTTTACACAATTATTTTGTACAGACAAGGCCTTGATGGATTATAGTCCCAGGTGAACCACTGAGAAGGAAAGTACCCAGAACCACGCACAGTTTTATCTGTGTATGTGGTAATATGTAATTTTGTGTGTGTGTGTGTGTGTGTGTGTGTGCGCGCGTGTGTGAGTGTGTGAGTGTGTGCGCGCGCCTATGGGCTACAGATCAGTGTTGGATAGTTCAACTGTTTTCTACCTTGTTTATTTAAAAAATGTAAAATTTTATGTATATGGGTGTTTGTCGGCATTTATGTCTGTGCACCAAGTGTGTGCTTCATGACCATGGAGGCCAGAAGGAAATGTTTGATTCCTAGAATTGGAGGTACAAATGGCTGTGATCTGCTGTGGGGGCTGAGAATCAAACCTGGGTCTTTTGGAAGAGCATCAAGTACTCTTAAGTGCTGAGTCACTGTGTGTGTCTGTGTGTGTAGGTCAGAGGAGAACTTCTGGGAGTGGTTCATCTATCACTTGGCTCTTAGGGATTGAATGCAGGCTGCCAGGCTTGGCAATAAGCTCTGTGTATTCATTGGAACATATCACTAGGCTACTACCTTACTATTATTATTTATTTTTTTAGATATGAGATCTCTTATTGAACCTGGAGCTTACTGATTTGGTCAGGCTACCTGGCCAGCAAGTTTCAGGGAACCTCCTATTTGCTTTCTCAGTGCTCTGATTATAGGTGTACACTACCATTCCTGAGTATTTTACGTGGGTCTGGGATCTAAATTCAGGTCCTCTTGTTTGGACAGCAAGCATTTACTACCCGAACCACTCTACAGCCCTGGTCACCAATCTTTTAAGTTAGTGACGAAAGCTCAGTCATTTTGAGTCTATGGTCTAATGGCCATCTTCTCTTTAAATGTTCATCTTTAGGACTGGTGAGATGGCTGAGAGGGCCAAACCACATACTGTCAAGCCTTACAACCTGAGTGTAAAACCCAGAATCCATGAGGTGAGTGGAGAAAACTGGTGGCAACAGGTTGTCCTCGAATTTGCCCATAAGCAAGCAAACAAAAAACATTTTAAAAAGTCGACTTATTACCTTGAACGATGGTGATAGCATACAGTTTATCTTACCTTTCACAAACCAGCATTTTTGGAGCAAACGTCTCAAGAACAAATGAAGGAGAATGATACATATGATCTAGAAAGCAAATAACAAGGAAGAAGAAACACAAATCCTGAGCATTATCAGATTGTTGGTAGCAGGGCTTCTCTTCGTCTCCCTTATGTAGCTGTTGCTGGGAAGCAGTTGCCCTTCCAGGGGCCACAAGTCCACCACCTCACTTTTACCAGGGGAATGTAAATAGAAGTATCTTCTCAAACTAGGTGGTTAAAGACAGTTGCGCCTTTCTATTCTCCTTTGTGTCATCTTTGGAAGCTAAATTTGGAAGGTTGACAGCTCTAAGTTTGTATTCTTATGTTGTTATCTACTGAATTTCTGTCTTAGGGTTTTTAATACTGTGACAATGAACAAAATCACCTTGGGGAGGAAGGGGTTTATTTCCATTACATTTCCAGGTGACAATATACCAGTGAGGGGAGTTCGGACAGGATCCTGGAGACAGGAGCTAAAGCAGAGGCCATGAAGGAGTGCCACTTGCTAGCTTGCTCAGACTGTGCGTGCTCTCTCTCTCTCTCTCTCTCTCTCTCTCTCTCTCTCTCTCTCTCTCTCTCTCACTGTTTTTGAAGACAGGTTTTCTATGTGTGGCCCTGGCTATTTTGGAACTCTGTAGACCAGGTTGGCCTTGAACTCACAGAGATCTACCTGCCTCTGCCTCCTGAGTGCTTAAACACATGTACCACCACTGCCTGGCCTTCAGCCTGTTTTCTTATAGAACACATAACCACCTGCCCAGGAGTGGTACCACCAACAAAGGGCTGAACCCTTCAACATCAATCACTACGAAGAAATTGCCCTACAGGCTTACCTACACTCTGATCTTATGGAGGCATTTTCTCAATTGTGGTTCCCTCCTCTCAGATGATTCTAGCAGTAATAACATTACTGTAGCACAGGCTGTGAACCACATGGGGAGCAGGTGGGAGTGTCTCCAACTGGGGGATGTACTGGTTTGGTTAGGGCCAGTTTGTGTAATTTCCTAGCATGCTATTTGCATCATGTGACTGAAGGTAGTTTAGCTCAACCAGTGACACTAGGAAATGACACTAGGACCTTAGTGTGAGCTGCTGTGTCTGAAACTTCCAGTTGCACAATTTATGCTATGCAAATAAGGAGGTCATACAAACTATGGCCACCTTGGCTGATGAAGCTCAGTCCTGGTTAAAGGCTGCGGCCATGGGATGCTGGCTTGTAGCTCAGTGAGACTATTGTTTTTAAGTGGGCCACCCCTCTAGAGACAGGTGGCAGTCTTAAACTTAGTAATCTAATGTAGCAAAGGGTTTTTGTGTGATAAGCATAAAGATTTATTACTCAGGGTTGTGTTTACTGTCTGCTAGTTCTAAAGTGCACTTCTGTTCACAGCTGTGTTCAGTTTCACCCTTGCTCACCCACATTCCAGACGTCAGGGTCAGTGATCTGATTGCCAGCACTGGAGAAGTTTTCATTTCCTTCAAAACGTGGATGAGTGACCTTTGGGAGATTAAGGGGCTCTGAAACAAAGTAGAAAAGGTGTTGAAGTAGAATAGACAATTTTTAATAGCTAGGTAGCTAAGGCTTCTAAGTAATTATGGGCTGTGGGATGTAGGAAACAGAATCTGGTATTGCCTACACGCTCTCAAATGAAAGCTCACCATCATCAACTGCACTTCTGTTGACACAGTTGGCCTCATGTTCCTTGAGCCTTTTGATTGGGACCACATGACAAGCGTTATATTTGCAGTTAGCCATCTTTTTAGCTATCTTCGGATTTTTCTAGAAGGAAAAATTCATGTTATATTTTGCCTATATTCTGTCCTCCACTCATTTCTGAAAATGCTGAAGAGATATGTCTCAGCTTTGAGAATGACTAGTTTCTAGTTGTGAGTGGAAGCAAAAAACCATACCAAAGAAACACTATTCTGAAAAAATTTCCTCAGCTTTTATTGGGGAAACTTACCTTTTTGCATGATGCCAGATGGTATTGTAACCTGCTGGCTGGTATCCTGTGGTTTGGGTCATAAGGACAGAGTTCTATGGCTTCTAACTCCATTGGTCCTAAGAGGCAGGCATCATAGGTTGGAAAAGAAAAAATTACCGCTTGAGATCAGGTTGTCTTGACATAGACCTATTTTCTATTCTTTGTTTTTTTTTTTGTTGTTGTTTTGTTTTTGTTTTGTTTTTCGAGATAGGTTTTCTCTGTAGCTTTGGAGCCTGTCCTGGAACTAGCTCTTGTAGTCTTGTAGACCAGGTTAGTCTCGAACTCACAGAAATCTGCTTGCCTCTCCCTCCCGAGTGCTGGGATTAAAGGCGTGCGCCACCACCGCCCGGCTTTATTTTTATTTTTTTGAGTAGTAGAGTTTGTGTGTTTCCCTTCTTTGAGTTGTGCTTGTGAAGG